CGCTATGACAACATGATTGAGGATAATAAGAATGTTCTAGAAGATTTGGGCCTCAAACAAAGATAAAAAAATATACATACATTAGTTATTTTAAAATATTACATGCTATCCTAAGGGGTTTTATCGAGTACTTGAGTTTGAAAAAATATATCAATGTTCGTGAGGCATTAAGGCAATCGTTGTTGTAGTTCTATTAGCATTGTCTCTGTTTATAGTGGCTCTTAGGGTGTTTCATCCAAAATATGACCAGGCCCATTGAGTGTAATAATGTTGGGTGAGGGCTGGCATGCTAGGGCCCAAACAATTCCATTCACAAATTCTTCAGCACGAATAATAGAGGTGATCCTCTTTGGAAGGACAGGCGATGTTTCTCGCAATGTCCTCCTTCTTGCTTCCCTTCTCTTTGTCGTATGTCCCTCTGACTTCTTTACCATTGAGCGGCTAGAGGGAGACAAGTGTTTTGTGGCAGGTTTTAAGAGGTAGAAGGAGGTGGTGAGGATGATTGTTCTGATTTTTTATGGAGAAAATGATGATTTTACTGATTTTTTTGGAGAGATTTCAACTAATTTTATCGATCGAGAAGTTTGTTCACGTCTACTGTACTAATTATTGACGGGAGCAAGATGAGCTCGTCGATCATGAGTGTTTCATTTCTTCTGGTTTTAGAGTCGTAGTCAGTGAGAGAACGCTCATTGGTTAGTATTTGAAGGAATGAAAAAGTGGATTATCATAAGGAGAAAGAGGGTTGGCTAGTTGCAGTTAGTTAATCTCTTTTTTAGTCTCGGTTGAGGATATTCATAATTGTCTTTAATGCACATGACAATCATATGATCATGAGCAGTGACGGATCTAAAAATTTAGAAATGAGGGTCTAAAAATTGTAATACTCTTTTTTTTAATATAATGAGTATACAAAGTTTTTTATTTTTCTCTTCTTCCTTTAATATATTAAACTATATTTAATATCTAATATAAAATAATAGGTATGCATTTAGGCCCTTATGGGGTCACATGCATCTTCCCCTAGTCATAAGACTAATCAAGTTAGATGAATATGATGGTCAAACTTATTATTTTATTTTGACGCATCATGTAAGACTGTTACAGAACTTGTTTATCAAAGGTCTTGTACGTATATGAGAGTTAATTTGGGAGTCTATTCTTATGGACACAAGCTTTTAAACGTTTCGACAAGCAAAAAGATCTATGTAAAAATCGATAAAGTGTTATCAAATCTGATGTGACAAGAACTGATCAATTTTTGAATGGTGTCTCTGAATGTATAACAAATGACTTAATTATTTAAAAAATAATGTATTTTAAATACTTACTGACATGACATGTAAGGAAAATAGCCATATCAACAAAAATATCCATGTAAATTATCTTATATACATAAATTATTGATATTAAAATCGATTAACTATCATGTTAATTAATTTAACGTTAGTCTTAATTAAAAAAATCATTTCATTAAATTTTATTATTAAATGATTATTTTGAGTAAAAATCATTAAAAATAAAATTATTTTTTAAAAAAACAATAAGTTATTTTACCAATAATAAATACAACATTTTTGTGCATACACTCAAATAAGAAAATTATATATCATTTATATCACACCACTGACGTATTTATCTCGTCACCCAAACATTTAATAAATTCTTTTTAAATACATATAAATGACAATAAGATTGTCTGCCAAGCTAAAAAATAGTTTTAACCATAAATCCTAAGGCCAAAAGTTAAAAGATAAACCATTAAAAGAAAAAGAAGAAACATAATATACAAGAACAAAGTGGAATTAATCATGACTCAAAATTCACGTCCCTTCATATTCAAGCATGTTCAACTTTGATGAATTGGCTTGGCTGCCCTCCACACTTGTCCATTGATCTTCCCACGCGGACGACATCAACAGTCTGCAATCATTATTGTCCACGCGGACGACATCAACAGTCTGCAATCATTATAGTGATTCTGAAAATTTTAAGTATGAGATTTAAAGTTTTAATTTTCCTTTTTTTTAAGTAATAGAAATGTAAAAAATTTATTTTTTCTATTTTTTATAAATTATACTAAATTTTATTTTATTTTCTTAAATAAAAGGGATGCATTTGGATGATAATAATGCAGGTCTTTAAGGGTGTGTTTGGTTCACGGAATGTAAGATTAACAGTGAGAATAAAAGATTACCAGAGATTAGGATTACTGGGAACGTTGTATTTTGTGTTTGGTTGGTTTAGCAGGAATATAAGATTACAGTGTTTGTTTAAAGGAATAAAATATTATTATAATGTATATTTGACCAAATTGTCCTTATTATATATATATCTTTTTAACAAATTAGAAAATATTTATATATTTTCTTTAAAAAAATTTAAATTCATAAAATTTATATAATTTTTTTATAAAATTGAAAATATAAAAAGGTTTAATGAAAGGGTAAAATTTTATTTTAACCCCTGAACTTTATATAAAATTTTAATTATAGATTTTTTTTTTGTAAATCTAAAATAGTTTAAGGATAAATTAGTAATTTAACTTTCGTAGAATTTTTATTATTCAATGACAAAATAAAGATATTTTTGAAAAAAACAATTTAAGGGTATTTTAGTCCAAAACGTCGATAATCTAACAATACCTAAGGAAATGAAGATACTGACATTCTCGGTAATATATCCCAAAAAATCCACTATTGATAATATAAGATTACCGGAAAAGACATTTCCGACCAACCAAACGGGAGAATATAAATTCTATTCCCATAAGAATCTCACATTCTCCTAACCACACACACTAAGGAATAATAAGCTCCCTGGGATTCTGCCATAGAAAACTGGTGTTTTCTGCGTTTGTAAGTATGTTTGCAGCGTATTAGCTTTAAGCAAGTTTTATGCTTTAGGGTAAACTGCATGTATAGTACTTTAACTATTATTTTTGTTTAGTTTTAACCACTAAGTTATTTTTTATTTCAAAATCATATATAACGTTATTTTTCAGTCATCCACTGTTAAAAAACTAACAATGATGCTAATACGTCATCATAAAGTAATATCAGAAATATTTTTAAAAGGTATCATGTCAGGGTTATGGTAATTTTTTAATCATATGTGATCAGAATAAAATTAAAACGTAACGTTAGTTATTATTTTAAAAAAAATAAAAGTTAGCTGATCAAAATATAAAAAAGTGATTGTTGGGTTTGCTTATGGCCTTCTATATAAAAGCCAACTGAACTTCTTGATTGAGTAGGGCGAAAATGGTAGGGAAAATGTGGGTCTTGATTTTAGTATCGATTTTGTTGTTGCGTGGCGATGAAACCTTAGCCTCCGACCCTGATCCGATCCAAGATTTCTGCATCCCGAACCCCAAATTCGGTGCTATAAAAACAGCCCATCTCACCACCCTCCCATGCAAAAACTCCTCGGAAGCATCCACCGACGATTTCGTCTTCTCGGGGATAAAAGCCAGTGGGAACTTCACCGAAACAGGGCTTGCCACGATCCCGGTGAATCCAACAATCTTCCCCGGGATCAACACACTGGGGATGTCATTCGTGCGAGCCGATTTGAAAGCCGGTGGGATAAATCCACCCCATTTCCACCCCAGGGCCACCGAGATTGCCTACGTGGTACAGGGCAGTGTTTATTCAGGGTTTGTTGATTCAAACAACCAGGTTTTCGCCAGGGTGATTGAGCAAGGAGAAGTTATGGTGTTCCCAAAGGACTGCTTCATTTTCAAATGAATGTTGGTGAGAAGCCTGCTACCATATTTGCATGTCTCAATAGCCAAAACCCAGGGCTCCAGAAGATTCCTTCTGCCATTTTTGGATCTGGTATAGATGAGGAGCTCTTGGAGAAGGCTTTCGGTCTCAGCCATAAGCAGATTGGGACCATGAGAAGAAGATTTTGATCCCAAAACAGTGACTTAAACTTCAGTACTTGTTTCCGAAAATACCAAAAGTCACAAAACTTCGTTGTAGTATAATGAAGATGGAACTTCTGTTCCTTCAGTGTCGTGCTTAATTTGGTATGAAATTTAAACTTGATTCATGTTTTAGTTGTACACTTCAAACACAGAATCACGAGGGAAGTCAATGCTTTAGTTTTGCATCAGTTTTTTTCCTCCCTTTTCTTTAATCCATTAATCCAAATCGAATTTGCAAAATCCGTTATAAAAAAATGAATTTAAACCTATTATGGAACGATTCTCTGGCCCAATTTACCTTTTTATTGTGACTATAATTCATAAACAACAATATGGTGAGTTTGGTTGAAGAAGAACAAAATAGTAAGAATCTCAAGCACTCTCACTGATAAATAAACTTATGATACTCTAGCATGCATAGCATCATGATGTATATACATTGAAATTCAAATTTTTTATGTTGGTTATTCATTTTACTGAAGTTGTACATCCTGAATTTTCATTTTTACTCGTTACATAAAATTTTTATTTTTATTATTAATACATATGTGTCCATTAAAACAATATTTTTAAATCCGTTGTTGATGGTGTACTAACTTAAAATATGATGCAATACTATATATGTCTCTCGGACCAAAAATGTATTCAACACAGTAATAAGTATTGTACTCTAAAGATGTTAAAAGTCCAAACAACTAACCTTAGAACAAAAATATCTGAACATTGACTTTACGAAGTTGAATGATACACTTATATTTTACCATACTACTCGCAATTCATAAATTAAACAGAAAGTCAATATTAAAGAAAAAACAAATCTATAGATTCATTTATAAAATATTTTGTTAATCATTATTGATGTGTGTTCTATATGATAAAGGAAGAACTAACCCTAAATCTTAAAGCGGGTGAAGGGAAAAAACATGTCTATCCCCGAATTATTCACACTTGCTGTAGTCTGATCAAATGAATCGTTTGGGCGGAAACCCTCAAACATGAATAGTCCGATTCCGACCCGACCAGATATCCCCGATCCGAAACCCGAAAACCCTGGAGGAGCGTTAGCTTCTATTTCCCGCGTCCCAGGCTGCCGCCACCGTCCATGGAAGAGATAAAAGGAAGCTTGTCGAAGCCTGTGGCAGTTATCGCCTGCATCTCCATGACATTGTTTTATGTTGCAACACTCTATGCTCCTACTCTGATCCTCCAACTCCCGCCTCCACACTCCTTCGACAATTTCATGATTCGTTGGTTTATTTGCGCCGCCGTTTCCTCCTTCGCTTCCGTTATCATATGTGCTCTTCTCCTCCCAATAAAGCCTTTCCCCTTCCCGCGTTTCCTGTTTTCCACTTCCGTTAACCGTTATTATAATTTTTTTTTCTTTATGGTTTGAAGTATGAACCTATTTTAACTCTTTTTGTTAGAGAATACTTAATTTAATAACTCGGCATCATTTTATATCCAAACACATTTATTAGTTTCCCCTTCTAACCTGGATTTTAAACATGTTTGATTATACTAGATAAGAATTGGGGAGGTATTTTATTTGCTTGGGGTTTATGGCATTCAATCGGATCATATTGTAAATTTGTAATCATATTGTAAATTTGTAAGTTAAATCTTTCTTCCATTTCAGTTAAATCTTGCACACCGTAGTTACGTGGATTATTATTCATATTCTTGTATGATCTGCAGATTATGTATGAAACAGTGGCAATCAGTACTCTTTCCACTTTTCTTGACTTCTCTTATGTATGCTGTGTTAGGAAATAAACCGAGTACAAGTAATTTTCCTATAATCAAATTAGTGAGAATGCGAAATAAAAGCGGAAAAATAATACCCGAAATTGATAACGGAGTTCAGCCAATTTTGCTTACGTCTCCGAACTGCTGCAGATCTTTTACTAAGAGAGAAATTTTACAGGTGTTTACAAAACACTCACTACTCACAAGAAAGCTCTCTAGTATTGGGAGAAAGAAATGATTTTTGGGATGATTTTCAAGCTAAATGAGCTAGGGTATTTATAGTTGAAACTTAGGGACTAATCTTGTAAATACCCTAAAGTTCAATGACTCAATTTTGTAATTATTCCTATTACAAAATAATTAAAAAAATTTAGCAGCCCATGTTTTTAATTCAAGCAGCCACCGGCTGCTAGCTTTCTTTGACCAACAATCTCCCACTTGAAGACTGATTTCAATATGTCTTCACACCTCGATCAATGCAGCAGCATTTCTGGTATTTTATTCTAGCATGCCAACTGAAGCTGAACACAACTTCAGTTTGTCCGTATTCACCGTCTTTGTTAACATGTCTGCCGGATTTTGAGCTCCACTGATCTTTTCAAGATTCAAAATCCCATCTTCCAGAAGAGACCGGATAAAATGATATCGCAATTGTATGTGCTTCGTCCTGGAATGAAAAGACGGATTCTTAGCTAGATGGATAGCACTTTGACTGTCGCAATACAATATATTGTTTTCTTGTTTCTTGCCTTAACTCTTCCAAGAAATTTTGGAGCCAAACCATCTCCTTGCTAGCTTCCGTAACAGCGACATATTCTGCTTCAGTTGTGGAGAGAGCAACTATCTTCTGTAGTTGAGAAACCCAACTCACTGCGGTTCCTCCTAGAGTATAGACATACCCTGTAGTGCTCCTTCTGATGTCGACATTTCCGGCTAAGTCAGCATCTACATAGCCTGTCAGTATCGTATCTCCACCTTTGAAACAAAGTTCTTTGTTTGTGGTACCCCGCAGATATCTAAGGATCCATTTGACTGCTTCCCAGTGTACCTTGCCTGGATTATTCATGTACCTGCTAACAGCTCCCACTGCATGAGCAATATCTAGTCTAGTACAAACCATGGCATACATGAGACTTCCAATTGTTGAGGCATACGGCACCTTCACCATGTGTGCTCGTTCTTCCTCTGTCTTTGGTGACTGTTCTTTGGAGAGTCTAAAATGAACACCTAAAGGTGTACTTACTGGTTTAGCATCTTGCATGTTGAACCTGGAGAGTACTTTGTTGATGTACTCAGCCTGTGATAACATCAAAGTCCCTGACTTTGTGTCTCTCTTGATCCTCATCCTAAGAATCTGCTTTGCAGCACCCAGATCCTTCATAACAAACTGCTTTGACAATTTTTGCTTCAAGCGTATAATCTCTTGCATGTCTGAGCCTGCAACGAGCATGTCATCAACGTACAATAATAAAATAATGAAGCTGTTGTCGAACCTCTTGATGTAGCAACAATGATCTGCTTGGCATCTGGTAAAACCACTGCTACTCATGAAACTATCAAACTTCTTGTACCACTGTCTAGGAGCTTGTTTTAAACCATACAAACTCTTCTTCAACCTGCATACCAGGTTTTTCTTGTCTGCCTTTATGAAGCCTTCTGGCTGCCTCATATAGATTGCTTCCTCCAAATCACCATGAAGGAAAGCTGTCTTTACATCTAACTGCTCAAGATGTAAATTCTCTACAGCTACAATTTTCAACACTAGTCTGATTGTAGACAGTTTTACAACTGGAGAGAAAATTTCATTGTAGTAAATACCTTTTTTTTGCTGAAAGCCTTTGACAACCAATCTTGCTTTGTAGCGTTTGCTCCCATCGTGCTCTTCTTTGATCCTGTAGATCCACTTGTTATGGAGTGCTTTCTTGCCTGGTGGTAATTCAGCTAATTCTCACGTCTGATTTGACATAAGCGAGTCCATATCATCTTTCATGGAAGACTCCCACTTGACTGAATCCTCCACTTGCATTGCTTCATCATAGCACTCTGGTTCACCATTGTCAGTCAGCAACAAGTAGTGTAAAGAAGGAGAATACCGTTGGGTTGGTTTTGGAATTCTGGAGGAGCGTCTCAGTTCTGGTGTGCCTGGTTCTTCCTCTTGAACTGCTTCAGGACTGATCTGAACATCATTTCCAGAAATCTCCTCGAACTCAGCAAATTCCTTTGTTTCAGCTTCGGTATTACTTGATTCTGCGATTGACTTGTCTTTGTACATCACATTTTCATTAAAAATGACGTCTCTGCTTCTGATGATCTTTCAATTTTCGTAGTCCCAAAACCGGTAACCGAACTCATCACCACCGTAACCAACAAAGACGCATTTGTTGGACTTGGCATCAAGTTTACTTCTTTCAGCAGAGTTTATGTGTACATAAGAAATACAACCAAACACTCTTAAGTGTGAAAGGTTTATTTCTTTCTTGCTCCAAGCTTCTTCTGGTATTCCGCCATCCAAAGGAACTGAGGGCCCACGGTTGATCAGGTAAGCTGCAGTGTTGATAGCTTCAGCCCATAGAAATTTGGGTAATCCGGCATGTATCCTCATGCTTCTGGCACGTTCATTCAGAGTTCTGTTCATGCGCTCTGCTACACCATTCTGCTGCGGTGTTATGGGAACTGTTGTCTCCATCTTGATCCTATTGTTTGCGCAGAAATCTCTGAATCTACTGTCTCTGTACTCTCCTCCATTGTCAGACCTCAACCGCTTGACTTTCAAACCAGTTTCATTTTCCACCATGGCCTTCCATTTTCTGAAGGTATCAAAGACTTCTGATTTCTTCTTCAGAAAATAAACCTACACCTTCCTTGTTGAATCATCGATGAAGGTGACATAATATAGTGAGCCTGCAAGAGATAGAACTGGGGATGCTCCCCATACATCAGTATGAACCAATTCTAACCTTTCTGCCTTGGGAGTCTTGTCAATCTTTGTAAAGCTGACTTTCTTTTGTTTTGCCAAAGATACAATCCTCGTATAGTCCGACATCTACATTCTTTAGATCCGGCAGCTTCCCTTTTGACAGAAGTATATTCATTCCTTTCTCGCTCATATGACCAAGCCTTTGGTGCCACATGTTTGATTTTCCATCAGCATCTGCTGCAGCAATGATATTCTCTAAATTTGAGGTTACATAGAGAGTACCAATCTTCTTACCACGAGCAATGACGAGTGCTCCTTTGGTAATCTTCCATTCACAGCCTGAAAAAGTTGTGTTATATCCTTCTCCATCAAGCTGTCCTACAGAAATCAGATTTCTTTTGAGGCCAGGAATATGTCTTACTCCTTTCAGCGTCCAGGTGGTCTGGTTTGGCAACTTTAGTCGGATGTCTCCTTTTCCGACGATCTTCAAGGTTTCATCATCAGCTAGATGAACCTTCCCAAAATCACCACTGACATAGTTCTCCATGATTTCTCGGCATGGGGTGGAGTGGAAAGATGCCCCTGAATCCAAGATCTATGATTCAATCAAACTGTTGACACTTAGAATAATGGCATCACATGTCTCCTCTGTCACGTTGGCAGATTCCTGTGCACCGGTATCTTTCTTCAGTGCTCGACAATCTCTTTTAAAGTGACATTTCTTGCCACAATTATAACATGTAAAATCTTTCTTTCCCATTCTTGATTTTTACCTTCTAGATTTGGATCTGTCACGATTTGAATTTCTTTCTGAAGTTCTCCCTCTGGACTCCGTATGCAAGGCTAAGGAGGTTGATGCTTCACCCGATTCTCTCTCCGTCGAATTTCTTCGCTCAGTACCAGATCCCGAACATCGTCGAATTTCAATTTACTATTTCCCGACGAGCTGTTAACTGTTGTAACAGTAGCATTCCAACTGTCTGGAAGAGATGATAAGAGAATTAAAGCTCGAACTTCATCATCGAATTCAATTTCCACGGAACTCAACTAGGTTGTGATTGTGTTGAGTTCATTCAGGTGTTGAGCCACTGATGCCCCTTCCGTCATCCGCAAATTGAATAATCGCCTCATCAAGTGAACTTTGTTTGAGGCCGATGGCTTCTCATACATACTGGAGAGAGTCGCCATAAGACCCGCCGTGGTCTTTTCCTTTGCTATGTTGAAAGCAACATTGCGGGATAACGTCAGTCGGATAACTCCAGGGCTTGTCTGTCGAGAAGAGCCCAGTCTTCATTCTTCATGCCCTCTGGTTGTTTTCCTGAGAGGGGTTGATATAGATTTTTCTGGTATAGAAAATCTTCAATTTGCATCTTCCAAAATCCAAAGTCCGCACCATCGAACTTTTCAATTTTCACCTTCCCTTCGTCTGCAGCCATCGCTTTCTTTGAATCATTTTTGACAATTTCTGTGAACCGCCGTGTATTTGAACACCTCCGTCGACAAATTCGTATCGTCGACAAAATTTCACTATTCACGAAATTCACTATTCACGTGAATAGTAACCTCGCAGAAAAAATTGGCAAAATTCACAACCAAAAGCTCATGATACCAGTTGTTAGGAAATAAACCGAGTACAAGTAATTTCCCTATAACCAAATTAGTGAGAATGCGAAATAAAAGCGGAAAAATAATACCCGAAATTGATAACGGAGTTCAGCCAATTTTGCTTACGTCTCCGGACTGCTGCAGAGCTTTTACTAAGAGAGAAATTTTACAGGTGTTTACAAAACACTCACTACTCACAAGAAAGCTCTCTAGTATTGGGAGAAAGAAATGATTTTTGGGATGATTTTCAAGCTAAATGAGCTAGGGTGTTTATAGTTGAAACTTAGGGACTAATCTTGTAAATAACCTAAAGTTCAATGACTCAATTTTATAATTATTCCTATTACAAAATAATTAAAAAAAATTAGCAGCCCATGTTTTTAATTCAAGCAGCCACCGGCTTCTAGCTTTCTTTGACCAACATGCTGGATCATTGATGTTGTTGGTTAATAACTGGATGGAGCATAGGGATCAAGACACAAGGCTAATGTTAGGTTGTATCAAAAGCACCCTTCTTAGGTTCCCCAGGCAGATGTCATCGTTGCTTCCAATGTTTATTCTGGCGTGCTAGTTGTGGTAGTAAGCTTATATTGATTTTCTTTATCTTTGTGGGGAATGTGAAGTTTACTATTGTTTTGAATCCTGTTAATAGGTAAATTGCTTATGTCTTTGCTCTTTCTTTAATCATTGAGATTGAGAAGGTGGCTTTTGGTTCCTTATTTTGAAAAATTGTTTTTGTGATAGAGGGTTTATTGTGTTATGTGTTCTGCTCCTTTTCGAATCTTTCAGTTCTTCGGAGAATAAGAATGATTTACCATTAGAAGGCTAATTAAAATAGTTTCATGTTGCTTCAGTCGTCAATCCTTGATGGTATTTCAATGAACAGGCACCATTAACAGAAGAATTGGTGTTTAGAGCATGTATGATTTCTTTACTTCTTTGTGGGGGATTTAAAGCTTACGATGTCATTTTTCTTGAAAACAGCTGGAACATTCATGTTGAGTGGATTTGATTAGCTTATTTTTTTCTGGTGTTATGCGCTAATATTATGTGTGTATCTGTTGTTTACATCTATTTGCTTGATTACATACCCCTTCTTACATTACATATTGATGTTGTTCCTGTGTCACAATTTGTAATTGTTTTGTTTGCCACAGTAAGGGACACGGTTGGCACAAAGTGGATGCTTTGTTGAAATCTTATTTTCCAACTTTGTATGTCTGTACTTGCAGTTTTTGGTGCATTTACTTGTGCTTGTATATATAGGAATTGTTGAGCATCATGCTAAACTTTTACCCATTGCATTATGACATGAATGACATGTAAACGTTTTAACTATATTTTGTCAATGTCTTGCGGCACATTTGAACCATATGATGGAGATCCACAGCCGCCACAATTACAGCTTGCGTGAAGCCTCTATGGTTGTAGGTAAAAACTGGGTTTTCCTCCTTGAACTAGCAGCTGCATTTTTGGTTGAAGAGGGATTGTCTGTTTATTAAATTTAGGTATAAAATTTTATGTCTTCAAATTGTTCACACCTTTGAGGAATAAGACATATATGATGCTATTTTGTGCTCATTTGTCAGGGCTTATTGGAATATATCTGGGCTTCTTAGGCCTCCAGCTGGGTTACACTGTGGTCTTCGGTTCACATGCTTCATTTCTCTTCAGTCGAACAGGTTGGTAATTATTTGTTAATAAATCCCATCATCGCTACTGGAGTTCAGTCTTTTTGTATATATGCACAGATAAAAATGATAACCTGACATTTAACCCAGAATAATTTATACTATAATTAATATATTCTCTCATAAAATAAATAAAATTAATTTTGACAATAGTTTAACATAAATATTATATTTTTGTTAAAAACAAATATTTCTTTCTTAGCATAATGGTTAGGCGTTGCACTCTTCCCCTGAAGAAATCAGGTTCGATCATCTTAAAAGCACGTGCATTATATTAATTTATCAAAAAATAACATGTGAAACTAACAAATATTTGGTATAGTAAGATGAGTTACTACATCTCTTAAGCAAATTGGGTTGGGAGGATCACCCTCGCCTATGTAGTATCTCGATCTGGATTAGTCGATTAATAAATTGAATATTGTAGTGGTTATATAGAAAAATAAACATGTCGAGATGTCACATTATCTATCGTTAACGAATAACTAATGATGATAATGATTACAATGCAAGTTCCTAAAGAAAATGGATACAACTAAAAATGTAATATCTACTATAATTGATTTTATAATAATTTTTTAAATAATTAATTTAATTATGTATTTGTAATAAAATATATGTCACTAATAAGCATACTATTAGTGTTTAAATTTTTGTCACTGTAATTAATCTTTTTGTGTAAAAAACGTAGTTACAAAAAACATAAATAATTGTGAAAAAATTCATTAAAGTCGTCATTAATACAATAGTGATAGAGTTTGGTGAAAACTCAAATATTTTTGTCACTATGATATTTAGTTATTAAATTTGTGACAATTTTTAGTGTCACTGAAAATGTATTTTCTTGTAGTATACACCATTCACGGCCTTGGAGGTGTGGGCATCACTTGGATACTCAAGGAACAATTGTTTGTGACCAACGCATTAATGGTATAACTTTCCCAAGAAGGATGATAATACCATAGAGACAAGTTTATAGCATAGACGTTGCGTATAGGGTAAAAGTTAGAAAAATTATTTTGGTGTGATCAATTTAGAGGAAATTTATTTTGAAATGTCAAATTTAAAAATTTATGAATTTTTTTAAGTGAACGAATATGCAATTTATATTTAAGGGTGGTAATATTATTTTATATAAAAATATTTTAATTTTATTATTAGTATTTTAATATAATATTAAATTATAAAAAATGATGTCATATAACACCTCTCATTATCTTTGAACTTTTATTATTATTATTATTATTATTTTAATTAATCATTGGAATATGATCTATTGACTAACTTAATCTAAATCGGGTTTTGTATGGGCCTATTATGTGGACGATCATCTCAATTTAGTTTACTCCATACGCGAACTTCAAGATTTGAACCCCTGACTTAGTTTAACGAATTTAGTGTCTCATCTCACTTAACCAATTGGTTGATGGTATTATTATTATTAATCTAGGGTAAGTACAAGTCAGATTATGTTTGAAAATAACTCTCAACCTTTTGACATTAAACGTTCACACTCCAGACAATCATGGTGTTCAAACTCAAGTCCTCTTCAAGAAATAACAAATTTCTTACCACATAAACACTTATTCGTTCGACTTATTATTATTAATATCTTACAATGATGTCATGCTAGAGTATTAGTTTTAGATCTATAGTTAAATCAAAATTCTCTCTAATTTTTTTAAGGCCGCTCGCTCTCTTTTTTTTATCATCTTCGTTAACAGGCGATGATATTAATTTTAGGTTTAGTTGTCAGTAGTCGATCTTCTTTAATTTTTTCTATATTTTAGTTTTTTAATAATTATGTTTTTATGAGACATATTTCACTGCTTTTATAATTTTTTTTTTTGTATCTTTTGGCATGTTTTGGATCTCTTCAAATGTTCATTTGATCGTTATTTTTGTTTAATTATCTCATGATTTGATTTGACATCGTCTTGACTAATCAAGGTAAGACTTAGTCATTATCCTACTAATTTTCCTTGTTTTGGATTGTCATATTTGATTACACGATTTGCATTTAGAGATAATTGTCTCACGATGCTCGATTCTAATTTTTTATTGCATGTGAGATTTCAAGAATTTCATCTTCTATTGTGGTTCTTTTGTCGATACAATTAGATCAATTCGTATCGATTATTTGAGCTTTTTTTAATGAGTTTTTAACTTTTTCTTTGTACGACTCTTATATGATCTAAAGTGAATTTTTTGTGTCATGATTATAAGAAAATGTTAATTTTATGCGTAGTTTAAGCTTATAGTTGTGAGCCTTTTATTGTAATTTTGGATTTTTTTTTATTTTTAATAAAATTAATTGTTTCTATTTGCATAAAAAATTATACTTAAATTGTTTAATTATGCTTTATGACTTGACTGCTTAAATTTAATATTTCAAAAGGTATGGTAGAATAGTAGTATTACTATTTAGTTTCGTGATGCTCAACGTTCAAAATTATTTTGTGCCCTCAAATTTATAAATTTGATTTGTTCATTTGTGTCCTCAAAATTATTTTAAGTGATATATTATGATAATTGATTTGTTCATTTGTGTCCTCAAAATTATTTTACGTGATATATTATGATAATTGATTTGTTCATTTGTTGCTTCGATGATATATTATGATATTTTTGAATCCGTCGAATATTATAAAGTCAATTGATATAATTCAAAAGACATAATAAAGTCAATTGATATAATTCAAAAGACATAATACTTCGTTACGTTAAATCAATTGATAATCGATAATAACAAAATATAATTCAATCGTGAATTCATGATCTTACATTCATAGCTGTTTTCAAAATTAAAATATGATGAAAAATTATTAACATCTGCAGCAGGAAGCTACGCGTGACATGCTAGAGCTTTGCATGTTTCTGTGGAGGAGAGTCGTGCGAGAAGGGCCACTCCTCCCCTCCATTGGCTGCCTCCCCGGTGGGATGGGTTAAGTTAAATACGAATGGGGTCAGACAGTCTACGTAGGGTCTAGCCACGTGTCGAGGCAACTTAAGATATCATTCTAATAGTTAAAGTTTTTTAATAAATTATTATTTAAAGATATTGTTTAAAAAAAATTAAACTTAACATAAGTCCTTTAAAGATTTGAAAGTATTAAACACATATTATTAATGAAAATATCAATTATGAGTATAATTTAGACTTTTATTTTTATATTAGACTTTTTTTTGTCATTCTTAAATGTTCTAAACAGAAAGTCGCCCAGTATTTGCCCTGTTTGCGTTTCACAATCCTGAACACGCTGTCTATATCACCACCTTCTCTTGGGTAGCAGACACTCGAACCCAATTGTGAATCAATTAGGATAACAGTATTTTAATCTAATAATTGAATTAATAAATTTCTAAGATTAATGTATATACTCGTTTTATCCAGTTTGAAAAAAGCTTGTAAAACTAAAACTATGATAACATTATTTCCTTCTTCCTCGCAGATACACCCTTCACAATCCATGTCTTTTAACACCCTCCACCCCATGAAATATAAGGCTGATAGAAATGAACTAGTAAACGAAGCTACCACCAGTACAATTTGGCTATGGTTTTACATCTTAAAAAAAAAAGAACAAAAGGAGATGATAACAAGGTGGGTTTATGATGTTACTCTTGCTGGGGGATCAGGGTTGGTAGAATTAGGGCATGGGGAGTGGAGCTCATATCGAGATCAGGTATATTGGTTGCTGATTGTTGGCCTTGGAGAGTTCTGTTTGAGCTCATACAAAAGGGCTTGATTCTCCTGGTTAAGAACCTGTGCTTTCTTCCTCAGCCTCTCGTTCTCTTTCATTATGTAACAGTTCTGAAGGTACAGATTTGAGTTTAGCCTTTCCATGACCATCCAACAATTTACCCTCTTTCTCTTCTTAATATCCCTGCAAACCCAAAACCATATATTTCTCAGATACCATAAGATTTAAAACAAAAAAAAGTGTATCTCTACTCCTCTTCTTTATTGGTGTATAAATCATTGCACTACACATGGAAGACAGTATCCCTAGGGAAATAATGGCAGAAATACATTAATAGTATGTATGCATGATATTAAACATTATTCAATCAAGCAAAATGGTAGATAATGGTGGTTATCCTAAGAAACCAGCAAAAACTACCGACAGGAGAAACAGGGGCATGTGTGAGTACTAAGTTTTGTAGTAGTAGGCCTAGCATTTAAATACACCAGTACGTAAAATAAAGAAAAGAAAGAAATAGATCCAACAGCTGTCCCAACACTCTTTCGGCTTGCCCAAACATGAAAGAAAGGGATAAAAGTCGATTATATGATGGAGTCGTTGTTGACTACATTAGCAGGGTATTGTATAGACATGAAAATGGCTCTATAGCCTTGTGCTCGTATAAAAGAAGGGACCGAAAGGAGTTAAAAGGGTAAAGAAATTAAGATAAAATAAAGAAGAAAACAAGCTGAGACATGGAAAAAGACAAAGGATCCTGTTAGAGAAACTTGTGGGAAAACCAGACATTCCTCAAAATGAAAAGAAATGGGAAGAAAATTCCTCATGCAAGACAAACAGCATCCCATGTAGGATAAACAGGCTTGGAGAACAAGTGCCCCCATTAGGGAAAGACAATGTCTACCCTTTGTTGGTGAAAGGAAAGAAAATAACAAGTCGAGAGAGAGAGAGAGAGAGAGAGAGAGAGAGAGAAGTGGGGACCTAAGCCCACTTTACCCTTTTCAAAAAAGATCACCTTTTGGAGGAGAGGTTGGTTAGGGGGCTTTGGCCGAGGAAGCTGAAACCTGGGTTACTGTGACAGCTAGTAGCAGCTGTAGTTGAAGACAAAGAGGCAAAAGGAAGTGAGAAGTGGAGGGATAAAGCGGATGGAAGGAAGATGTGAAGATATATATAGAGAGATCTGAGATAGAGAACAAAAGAAAGGGTTTATGGTGTGGGGGAAGGGACATGGCTCTCTGGTCTGACACGACAATCATTAGCTGTGTAAGGATTTAATGTTGCATGATGATGATGGATATGGTGGCATCATGTGAATGATGAAGAGAAGGGAGAACTAGAGCTTGCATGTTTCTGCCAAGGGACAATCATGTGAATTTTCCGGCTAGAGGGGTGGCTGCTCCTAAAATAATGGTGGGCAAGGGCCGTCACAAGATTCGCAATCATGCTAATCGATTGGTTCCACCCACTTCTCCTTCTCCTTCCTCCTCTTCTTCATCATCATAAAAAAACTCTGATTTTTTTTCATTTACTGTCACCCAATTAATTTTCGACACTTTTATTTGGAAAGTGTTGGTAATAATCATTTTTTGGCCGTAATCTTTTAATTTCCATGGTTGAAAAATGTTGATTTTTGGATGCAATCTCTACAGGGCTACTCAGTCTTCTCCATCTCACTGTTGTCAACAATTATAATCTAGAAAATAGGGTCACATCACAAATTATGCCTACCAGTACTCCCTAGGGGCACACTTTGAAATACAATCCCTTCTTCTAAATCACTTTAATTCCTATATTAATTTGTATATACATACGAGTCCGATTTGTATTTTACTGCTCCACCCATAAATATCAATCAATAATTATTTTTTCAAAAAAAAGCACTAATATATATTTTTCAGCAGGATCATTATATAGATAAAATGTGATGTTGATGCCATCAATTTATTTTAGTAATGAAAAATATTATATTTTAAGAGATTTTGAAGTTTAAGTATATATGTTAAAAATGACAAGCTAGATTTTTTCTTTTTCCTTTTGGATTATTTTCTCCGTTTCAGGATTTCGTCATAATTAATTTAGATCAATCTATATCTCATATATGATTTTTGTGGATGAGTTTTTTAACGAGAATTTTTTTACATATATAAGGACTCGAACTTGATATCTACTTAAACGATATCAATGTACTTATCACTTTAACTAATTTCATTGATAGTGAGATTTTTTTTTCCTTTGATTATACGTAGGGGTGAGCATTGGATTGAGTCGAGTCGAATCAAAAAAAATATCGAATCATTCGAGTTGACAAGTCATATTTTACAACTAGAACTTAACTTAATTTTTTTTCAAGTCGAGTCGAGTTTAAGAAATTCGACCTGAATTATTCGAGTTTCTACATTAATTTTATTATAATTATTTATTTTATTATGAAAAGTATTTGTTTCAATTTTTTGACTTTTTCTAACCATTATATATATATATATATTATTTTCACGTTATAATGTTATTTAATATATCAAATACAATTTAAAATTATAAAATATAATCATAATATTATATTTTAAAGAAAGTATTTTGAGGGTAAAATATTGATGAGAGTATAAAGGACTCAAGAAATTAATGAGAAAAAGAATTTGTAAATAATTGTAGGCAAAAGGTCAAATTAAGTAAAATGCAAAGTTAAGGAATTAAATAAAAATGGAGTATATTTTTAATAAAAAAGTAAGAATTATAGCTACATATGTATTCCATTATGGCATATGAGCATGTGGTTCAAATTTAGTTAAAAATGACTTAAAATAAAGGATGGATTAAAGAAATTATGAAATTATGAAAAATTGAAGACTGAATTGAAAATAAAAAATTTGTTACCAAAAAGAGGAATTGAAAGTACATATGTGTTATGTGTTGGTTTAGGAGCATATAGTTCAAATTTGGTAAAAAATGAACTCAAAATGAAAGAGGAATTTAAGAAATAATAAAATCAGGGACTAAATCGTAAAACTAACAAAATATTTAGTCAATTTTTTTGATTTTTCTAGTAACTAGAAATTTCAAAATTTTAACTCCACTCGAAAACCAAATTGATAATTCGAGTTGACTCGAATAACTCAATTTAAATAACTCGATATTGGAAAAAAAATCAAATTTCGAGTCGAGTTTTCCTCACCCTAATTATATTAGTTTATTTTCTCTATCTTTTCCGTAATGGGCTTTTTACTTCAGTCAAATGACGATATTACCCCTATAGCTTTGGTTTTCCTTTACACCGTTGATGATGATGATGCTTCGGTTTTACGTTATTATAATCATAACTTCATAAGTTTAAGCCTATTTTTGGCCAATATTTAAGTTGGATTTTCACATAGTAATGGAGTTTTTTTTTTTAAAGTTGGGACAGCCTCAACATTTCATGTGTTATATGAGCAGCTTAACGTAAACCATCATAGTTGACAGATAGTATGAATTTGGATGGGTGCATGGGTAGTATCGTCAATTCGTTACCTTCACCCCTCGTGGAGCTTTAATTGGATGATTGCAGCTTTAATTACTCGTTTGCCCTTATCGTCTCAGTCCCTATCCTTCCAATGATAGAAAATCTTCGACGCCGTTTCGAATTACATGAACCGTAAAATGATAAGGGTGTAGTTCTTAATATATTTTTAACGTGAAAAGACATTAATGTCCTCAGGTTTGGAGTAATATATATCAAATATGATGTTAAATATAGTTGAAAAATACGTTATACATAGAATATGCTAATATTATATTATAATTTAATTTATGTTTAATTTAATGTTAACAAAAAAAATCCAACAATTGATTTCAATAACAAAGAGAATGTTGTTCTCCCTTTTAAGTTTAAGCAACCATGTATACATAGTGTGTGTGCAGTGTGCGCTAACAATAAAGTAAGAAAATTCTAAACATATACTACATGCATAGTGTGTGCAGTGTGCGCTAACAATAAAGTAAAAAAATTCTAAACATATACTACATACATAGTGTGTGTGCAGTGTGCGCTAACAATGAAGTAAGAAAATTCTAAACATATACTACATTATAATCATCTCAGACTATTAAAAAATATTATTAAAAATAATTTTATAATTAATTACATGTTCGAAACATCAACACCTCCCTCTAACTCAAAGTCCTTAAAGTTTAAAATAAATTAATCTCGAATCATTCAAAAGGGAAGCATGACTCTTATCTCGAGCCTCAAGGTTACACACGAAATCAGTAAGCATTTATGAAATCCTACAATAATAACAATAAGGAAAACACCATCAAAATGCCAATCTTATAGGAGTACAATCGACTATAAGGTAATGTATCTATGGAAATTCACTTAACACAAATTTCTTGATCCTAAGATCGATTCAACCTAAGTTCTGATATCACTTAATGTAACACCCTAAATCTAACCTCTAAAAACGATGGGCTTACGATGTCACATATAGATCTAAAATCGATCACTTTGTTGTGAATGCCAATTAGATGAGAATAAAATCTTACTTTAGAGATTTGATTTTAGCAATCATACAACTCAAGAAGAAAGAAGAAATATGAATGACTAAAGAAGAAAAAAATGAGTTTTGGAAGAAGCTTGGAGTGAATAACCACTTTGCTTTATTTTATCTAAAAGTCACAACATCACCTTAATATTTTACAAAAAAAAAATATTTGTTAATTAGTCACTAGGTCCTTCCCTATTTGCTATTTTAACCAAAACATCCATTTGATCTAAGAATTTGGACCATAATCAAATTCTACAAAGTGACGTCCCCATTAACCTAATATAATTCATTAGAATTCATCAGTTATTATTCGGGTCAATTCTGAACATTGACTCGAATCTTTTTTCGAGCCGTTGTAGAAAATTTTGTCGTTAAGACGTTGCAGTATAATTATATTATACATCTTAAGTTAGTTAATATCCATGTAGTAGGATATTAGTTATACTTTTTCCATGAAAAAATAGAATTAATTTTTCATATTTTTAATATTAGAGTTACTTAGGCTCAAATAATTTTGAATTATTGAACTTTAGAATCAATTTTGTTGAATTGTTTTTTTATGATGCTAGTATTGTTTTGATTTAATATAAAAATAAGTGTTTAAATTATACTTCTTTGTCCATTTAGGTGTTTAAACTTTTTTTAGTCCATTTAGGTATCTAAAGTTTTCAACGTTATCACTTAGGTGAATAGACCGCTATAGACATTGAAAAAATTCTGTCAAACACTCAGGATTTGACACGTGGTGCCTTTAAAAAAATTATTTAAAAAAACTTAAAATTATTATTACTTCTCATAAAATATTTCTAAAATCTAAAAAAAGTTTCAAAATCCCTAATTCTAAAGCATCCACCCTATTTATCAACTGACCACTGTCATTGCTGCCCCCATCGGTCGCCTACCTATCCGTTGTTGACTACTCATCCATAAACCCTAAACCTTAAATCCCTAAATATAAACCCCAAATCTCTAAATCTTAACAGATTCGACATGTGAGTGGTCGGAGGCTGGTCGACGAGTCAGTGGCCGACATGTGATTGGCTAGTTGCCGGCGGTGATGGTGATGTTGAATGTTGGACTTTCCACCGAAAGTAGCAAGCACAAGAACCGAAAGTTGGAATAAAATATTCCACCCACATTTGTTGAATTTTTTGGAAATGGAAAAATCATAATTTAGTCATTATACTTTAGGGTATTTATAAGATTAACCCTTAAGCTTCAACTATAAATACCCTAGCTCATTTAGCTTCAAAACCATCCCAAATCATTCTAGCTTTCTCCCAATACTAGAGAATTTAGAGAGTTTCTTTAGAGTTGTTTTTCTCCTTTTATCAAGAGAGAATTATCATTGTTTCTCCTTGTTAGATTGAGAGAGGTTGTAATTCATATTTTCTCATAGTGAATTTCTTCTACCGTTGCCCGTGGTTTTTACCCTATATTATTTAGGGGGTTTTCACGTAAATTTTGTGTCTTCTTTATCTTCATTTTTATTTTCTTAAATTATTAGTTGTGATTTTGCTCTATCTGATAGCCGTATTCCTCAACAATTAGCATCAGAGCCAGATTTGAGTGTGTAATATCTACTTATTGTCTTTGTGGTTACCACCAAAAGGTGGATCCTCCAACAAAAGAAAGTAAGAAG